TTCAGAACCTCTTATCGTCCGATATCAATCACTTATATACTACAAATCCGTTTATACTCCACTTCCTAATCTACATATATGTATTACTTAATAGACGGCAATTCTATTGCCGGACTCGTAGCAAATGATCTTAGAAAGAGTTTATTACCAGAAAACTTCGAAATGTTATTGACACTTTACCATTATTTGCTCATATACAATTTTAACTATAGTTTGAAGTGATTAAATTTCTTTATCTCCATTTTTAAAAATTGCAGATTGCGAGTTGCGAAAATAACGGAACCGGAACTTTCGGAGAACACTATCTTATAACCCATTTTTCACAAAATGGAGATATTGAGACAATTTGGGTAGGGAATGGAGCAAAATAGTGAATTTTTTCGCCTACCTTTTAAAATTTTCAAGATTTTCGCCTGCGGCGCTTAAAATAAATTTTTTTGGCTACTGCGTCGCCAAAAATTCTGCACCGAAAATGACACCCTCCCCGAAAATTCTCCTGGCTACGGGCCTGGCTTATGTGACCACAATTGTTGTAAATAAACCAAGAACTTGATCATTTATAAGTCATAGGCGACTAATAAAGTATTTGAGGTCGAATAATTGCGAAATAAATGCAGTTTTGAAAATTTTTTGAATATTAAAATGTTTCGTTTTGTTTCGTTTCGTAAGATTTTGGGTGTTTCGTTTCGTTTCGTTAACGAAACGATTTTTAAAAAATTTTGTTTCGTTTCGTTTCGTCAGAAAAAAATTTTGAGTTTCGCCCATGTCTGGTGGAGATGGAGTGGAAAAACACCAAAAGGTGATGCTATTTTACATATTAATGCTGATAGAGCTATTTTCCAGAAGAAGGTGGTTATTTTCTAATAGGAACTAATCTTCTTTTACTAGAAGCATTCCCTGACATAGATGAACGTTTATTTGATGCCTCAAGTATTGAACATATTTCTCAACAAGCTTTGGAAGGAAAAGACAATTGCTTGAACAATAAGTTTGTTTTGAATGTTCTTAACTTAAATTATTTTATACTGGATTTTTGCTGGTAATTGGGTGGAAGGGGTCGAAGATATTTTAATAAATTTTTTTTGGGTTAATTTTGAACTTTTTATTTTTAGTTATATCTTGCTTCATTTCCTCGTCAACAACAATTACAAAAACATCCAATGAAAAGAATGCGGTGTGAAATAGATAATTTAATTACAAATTCAGGGGAAGACGAAAACGAATTATTAATAATAAATTGAAAACAGGACGAAGAATTATCGGAAACAGAATCTGATATAACAAATCTCTCTCTTTTAAATTAAATATTCAATGAATGGAATGATGTTCTCTCCAACAACAAACAGAAAATTATCTGTAAATATTTTCTGTTTACAGATAATTTCCCCACCACCACCAATAGCTCCCCCACCAATAGCTCCAGTCCCCATATCAGCTTCAAATCAGAAACGAAGAAGGAGGAATATCTTCATTAAATCAACTTTCTGTTTTACTTTTACAACAACAACAAAATACCTCTTTACAACAACATTTTAATGGTGGCAGTAATAATTCTTTAAATAATTCTAATTATCTGTGGATACACGGAACTGATGGAATATTTCCATCCCCCTCTTCCTCAACTACCTCAAATAACAAAAAAACACATTTTTGTGTTGTTAATCATCATGGTGGGGGATTATTAGGCGGATTAGAAAAAATAATGACAATAGATTTTGAAGGCCGTAATAATAATCATTTTGGAGGAACACATAAAGTAAATAAGCATTTTTTATTTTGATTATTCACTCAGTCCTTATTTATAAATAGATACTCCCAATTTGTGTTAGAGCTCGACGAGACGATCAGTTTAGCCAGAAATTTTTAACTTCTAATTACAAATTTGGAGTCGGATTTGGGTCCGAAATTTGAAATAAATAGAACTTTAACTCATATTCGAACTCAGCACATTTAATTACCTGCTGACCTCTAAAAATCAAAAAAGCACTTCTTCCTCATTTTTAGGAAGTGACAAAATGAGAAAAAATTCAAATTATTTGTATCATTTTCCATACCACCATTTGTTTTAACTTTTTCTAAATTAAATCGCTTCAGATGTAAAAAAGACTTTTAATTAAAATAATTCCTCACATAATTTAGTATTTTTTAAAATAAACACAAATATTTTTAGGTAAAAGGCCAGCATGGAGCAGCAGTTAAAAAAGCGTGCCCAAGTTGCTGCTTCAGCAGTCGACTATTCCACTTGCCGGAGCTTTATTAACTAGTTCTGTAGTTTTGGGAATGCCACAAGGATTGTCTAGTGCTTAAGCAGCAATGGCTGCCTTAAATTCATTGGGTAGACAAATACAATAACAACCGTTTACTTGTGCAAATTCTGGTTTTGGTTTATTAAGAAATATGCTTCAATATGGACAACAACAAGTAGCTGCTTCAGTTGTAGCTGCCAATGATGCTGCACAACAAACAACAAACAAATGCTGCAGCTAGATGGACGGGAATTTAGAAAAAATTCTTAACATCAATTAAATATGTATTTTGGAAAATATTTAGACTAAGGAAAATTAGAAAAATACTCGCCATGTATTTTTCTTAATCGATGTAAATTTATGTATAATATTTTTGTTAATCTTTAAGCGTTAAAAACAAACAAAAAACTGCCTTCTTCAAAACTTTTTTTCTTTAATAACAAAGATATGTGTGTATATTTTTAATGCTGATTTGAAAGTTGAAAAATTTTGTTAAATAAAAGAATTTAGGGAAGTTTATTAAAACAGTTTATATTTGGTAAAAATGACTTTTTGTTTATTTTTTAAATTAAAATTAACAAATTAGCAGTTTTTTATCCAATTTAAGAACTATTTATCTACCAAACATATGTCGTTCTCCGGAGCCAAAGTCGCTAATTTTTGGGTCGGGGAGTTCTGCAGGACCACTAAAATAGGATGAAAATAAAATTATTTTGTTTAGAATTGAGCGTATTTGACTGTACATTTATTTTTAACTAACAGACGACTTTTGGAATTGTTAGATAGTCCGCAAAAAATAATCTGAAAGAAACGAACTTCCCATTCTTCAATATGGCTCAAAATTTAATTATAATCTTTTTAAATCTCAAAAGTACCCACATAGCTATTATAATCCCAATAACCACAAAAATAATTATGAGTGGCCATCTGATTCGTGTTCTTCTTTTTCAACTTTGTTATCAAAAACAACGTTATCATCTTCTTCGGCCATCATTAAAATTTGTAGTCTTTAACGCTCTAAAAATTTTTAATTTGAAGAGGTCTAAAATTCTGTTCTATATGTGGAAATAAATAAACCAGTTTTTTTGTAATTCAGAATGAATATCAAAACATTTTGAAAATTTTCTTTTCAAAAAAGATTTAGCTAAATTTAATTTACAGCTATTTGTAAAGCAAGCATTTCGTCTTGTCCATTTAAATTTAAAAATTTTAAATTTCTCAAAGTTTATTTTGTGTCTTTAATTTCCAAACTTGTGTATCATTTGCTGAGCTGTCGGGACATCGACTAATGCTTTTTCTTTTTCCTTTTTAGATCGTTTAACCCCCGCCTACCTACGATAAGATCCTGCCCGGTGTCTAAACTTTTGCTAAACTCTGTCTATTTTAAACTTTTTTTTTATCTTTATTTAAAGCAACAATTTGTTTACATATCAGATAATAAAAGGCAGAAATTGGAAGGAATAACTTTTTCTGTAGGGGAGTTAGTAGAGAGAAAAAATAAAAATACTTTTTTGAATACAATTATAAAAGGGTCGGCAATTTGCCAATTAATTCAAAGGGTAGTCAATTTCATTGAAAAATAAATGCGCATGCCCAAGTACTTCCCTATGACTTTTGTTTAATCAAGTGCTTTCACTAGACAGTCATTCACATCCTCAAAACATCCGCTTCCCCCCCCCCCTCCCCCTATGACTTGCTCATGTTATAATTTCGGGAAGGAAAACAAAAGAGGGATTCTTTTCCGGTTAACAAATAAAATAAAGTGAAAACATTAATTTAATGGCGAGTTTTGTTGTGGTTGATAGACGAGATTAGAGAAAAATATTCCAGAAATATTCAGGAAATATAAATATATTCCGGAAAACACAATTACCTATTTTCTAAAAACTTTTCCGGAAAACAATTGCGGAAAAATACAAAATTAAAACAAAAAATACAAAACATATAAAGAGGAAAATACAAATGATGTTCACGTGTATTTCAATAATATTTAAAAAAGCCTTTACAAGTGCAACAACTCAATTTTCATTGAAATACATGTTGAAAAATCCTCAAGATTTGCTAGACGTCTCATGAAAAAGGTCAACCCATGCTTATGGTCATAAAATAAAAAAATTTTTTTTGCCTTTCCCGCCCATCCAAGGCGCGTATATATTTACTTGATTATCAGTCAATCAATCAAATTAATTTGAATTTAAAAAATCTCCTCTCAAAAATCTACTACACTCCTAAATCCTCCTCACTCAAAAAAGAGAAAATAAAATTAAAAATAATGTTAATTACCTCAACAATACCCTTTAATATATTTGCCATACTGTTAATTTTCTATGTTCAACAAATCTCAGGGATTCTAGTTCATTCTAGTGCCGGAACAGGAATCTTGCCCAAGCACTTAAAAATGGAATCTCAACCCATTTTTGCTTCAAAGTATTTTTCTTACTAAAATTTTTAAAAATTCCTAAGGGCCATAAAAATTTTTTTAAACAAAGATCTGCCCCATTCTCAAACCTTTCAATGCGGAAAATGAATAAAAATCATAAAATAATGGCTACATCAACCGACAACCATAAACCGGTTATCGATACGACAACTAATAAAGGTATAATATTAATAAAAAAATTCTAAGATTAAAGAAAATTTTTGTTTAGAAAAAGTTTCGGTTGATAATAAGGCTTTTGAACCAAAATACATTAATGGATTTGTAAACAAATCGGTTGATACTAAAAAGGAAACGCTTCAAGTTGAAAAGCCTAATGTGGAGGGAGGTGTTAAATAGGAAAAATTAAGCGTTCCAAGTGAAGAGAACTTTACTGAATTTACTGAAAAATTTAATTTGGGAGGAAATTTGGGGGGAAAATTGATGAAAGAGGAAGAAATGATTAATAAAAATGAGGAGGAAGAGTTGAAGAAGGAGCAGAACCATTTGAGGAAGGAACAGGAAGGAAAGGGTGGAGAGAAGGGAGAAAATTCTAAAGAGAAGGGAGAAAAGTCTGGAGAGAAGGGAGTGGAAAAGGATTACAAAAAATATATAACCAAAGAAGTAAAAAAATTGAACAAAAAATTTTTTGTTCTGAAACTACTACCTCCACCAAAACTGAAGAAAATGTTTTATTCGTAACAGATTTAATGATGGATATCCCTCAAGGTTCAGAACGCGAAAATTTTAAAACAACAGCAGCAGAATTAGCTTTTGTTTTAAATCTTTCTGATAAAAATACGGGGTCGCTTTAGTATAGGTCCACCGAGATCGGAACTCAGACTATATACCATCCGATTCGTCTCGCCGAGCTGAGTTCAAATATGTAAGAATTTTCTGCCGGAGACGAAAACTCGCAGAGATACAGGCGATTGAAAATCGAAAAACCATAGGGGGGACCAAGCACCTTTTGGGGGTGAAAAATTCGAATATACAAATGATACCTCATTCGAAAGAGCTCCTCGAGCTGAGTCGAATGACACCAAAATCAACGAAATCCGACTTGATTGGACCGAGATATAGGCCCCTAAAAACCGAAGATCCAAAGGGGCGATTTTTGAAATAAAAAATTTTTTATACAAATAATACCTCATTCGAAAGAGCTCGACGAGCTGAGTCGAATGACACCAAAATCACCGTGATTAGACAAGATTAGACAAAGTTATAACACAAAAAAACAAAAAAACCTAAACCTATGGGGCGTCGGCGAGGCGCTTGTGCAAAACCCCGCGCTTCGCGCGGGGTTTTGCGGCACGCGCCTCGCGGGGAGTCTACGGGCTCTGGGTCTGGGCTCGTAACATAAACCTATTCCTATCTCCCTTGCTCTGGACATATTTGGGGCCTCCGTAGCAGCAAAAATCTCCACAAATGCCATAGGTAAGGAGCTAAAATAAAAGATCATAACTTTGTCCAATCACGTCTGATTTCGTTGATTTTGGTGTTATTCGACTTAGCTCGATGAGCTCTTTCGAATGAGCTATTATTTGCATATTCGAATTTTTGACCCCAAAAATCAGCTTGGTCCCCCCTTTGGTTTTTCGATTTTCGGGGGCCTATATCTCTGCGAGTTTTCGTCTCCGGCAGAAAATTCTTGCATATTTGAACTCAGCTCGGCGAGACGAATCGGATGGTATATAGTCTGAGTTCCGATCTCGGTGGACCTATACTAAAGTACAGCCAAAAATACTCCAGAGAAGCTTTGGGCACTTTTTGGAGTTGAAAATGGAAATGTAAGTTGAAGTATATGCTTGGATAATTACCCTAGATAATTATTGTCCTGACCTCTCGCTGTAAGGGCAAGTAATAGAGAAAGGGAGTTGGTGTATTCATTCTTAACATTAATTTTTAAAACCTTCCATTAATTAAAGTTGATAAAGGTTTTTCAAATAATTTTTAAAATTAGTGTAGAAAATAAATGGAAATTATTAGAAAAAGTAACTAATAGTTTCACCGCAAGTTTCGGTTCCGGAAAGTTCTGGTATTTTTTGGTTCCGGTTCCGGTCAAAAATGTCGATTCTGGTGAAACACGTAAGGGCAACTAATAGAGAAATTATTACCTTTCCGGTGAAACACTAAAAACTATTTGAGCATACCGTATAGCTTAATTATTACCCTCTCTCAAATAATTATCCACGTTCTATTAATTACCCTCTACCCAGGGTAATTATTCTAGATATATATACGGTAATTATAATATATTTTTAAATCAAAATTCTACAGGAAGAAGAAAATTATCGTCAATTTGAGAAAACATTTAAACGACTCTTCGGTTTTGCGGGTAAAGCAAGTTTGCCACTTATCGTCAATTTTATCAAAAAACAAACTGAAGCTGATAAAATGCGCAAAAAGGCAGAAGAAGCACAAGAGAAGATGGAATCAAACATTAAATGTTTGGGAATTTTTTAAATTAAAAATAAATTTTTTTTTCAGTATTTAATGCTTTAATATTGGTCATGAATAAAACTAAAAACAACAAAACTTATCGAGACTGGCAGGTTTACTACAATGAATATAAAAAAGATGAGAATTAATAAAGCTAAAGAAAATTGGGGAAAAGAGAGGATTGAACGAACAAAAAAATTTTTTTAATTAAAATTTCGTAGAAAGTAGTCAAAAAAAACATTTTTTCAATTTTTAAAATTTTAAGAAAGTACTCCTTTTAAAGGATGGAAAATAAATAAATAATAAACAATTTATGTTAAATTGCATGTATAAATGTATAAATATGATAATTTCGGGAAAGTTTAATAATAAAGGCTTGAACAATGAGAGTTTGAAACCGTGAGCCAATTTTTACATTGTTTTACAGTCAGGGCTCTTATCCACCCTTAACTAAGTTCAATTCTGTTATGTCCGTGATTTGAATATTTTATTATTTAATTTAATTTTCGTTTTATTTACATATTTTGCCCCCATTTGATAATATGTTTAAATAATTCTCCCAGTCCAACTTTCATATATTCTCCCATCCATCTTATTTAAATTGTTGCCTTTCACCTTTACTCTCTAAATCCTCTACTTTATACATTTTCTTTAAGTTTTTATCATCTACCCGCTCTTCCTAGTCTCTATAAATGCTTGTCCATTTATCTTATTTTCAGTCCACTTGATTCTAATTTAATAACCGATGTAATAAATATATTTCAAATAAAAGCCTTGATTTATTGAGAGTTTAGGGTCATTTTAACTTAAAATTGTGTTTGATCACAAAGACATAATATGTCTACTGACTCGATAAAGATTTTAACCTCGAATCCGAACCATATTGTCTAATCTGATCCGAGCAACTTTGACAAGCACCTAACTTTTCAAAACTAGGGGTTCGAGGTCCAACTTTCAGTCTAAAATTAAAAATATTTATTAAGCCTAAAATAAAGTCAAAGATTAAAGTTTCTCTTTTTATGACTAACATACTAAATACTGAAAAGAATATTTTTTATGACTAATTAAACTAAAAAAATTGCCAAATAAATAGCTAAATAAATAAATAAATAATTTTTTACTTTAGAAATCAATAATCTTTTTTAAATATAAAATTAGCTTTCATTTAAATAAATAAAAAAATTCTTTCCAATTTTTTTTTATTTAGCTCTCTAGAATTTATTTTAAAAAATGCCTTCAAATTTCCCCCAAAATATATTCCAATTTTTTACTCAAATTTTCTTTTTTTATTCCCTCATTTCAATAAATCCAATAAATTCAATGGAAGGAATTGATTTATTTCAATTAACAACTCTCGACGATTTTAATTGTTTAAAAGAAAAATTATCGGCTAAATTTGTAATTATTCGTGGTGGACGTTCTGTTGGTTTAGTCGATTCCAATTTAATTAAAAATATTAAAAATGCTAGAGGAGCAGGATTTGAGGATGTTGATATTTATATTTTTCCTTGTGTTAAACCAAAATTAATTAAAAATAAAAATGTTACGTGTGGGAATGCTAGGTAAACTTTAAAAGAAGAAAAATATATTTAATTAATTTTAATTAATAATTTAATTAAAAAAATTTTTTTTAATCTAAAAAATTTAAACACAGTTTAATTTATTTTCTCTCGGGGAGAAAGAATAAACATAAAAGGAGTTTGTCCATTTGGATTGAGATTTTTAAATTTTTAGTTTTTATAATTTAATATGGTTAAGTAAACCAGATTACCAAAAAAGGAACAGGATTCCGCAAAACTTAGCTATTTTAGACTCAATTTGTGTCAGTTATGCTCTGGATTGAGCCTACATTCATATTATAGTTCTGTTCCTTTTTTATCTAAAATGAACTTTTCTAAAATAATAATCGGATTTGGAGTTATAAATATCTGATAGAGTGAAATTTAATTTAATTTTTGGGAGCATTCTTATTAAATTTTATAAAATTAAAAACTTTATTTTATTATAGACAATTTCTTTCTAAGTGTTAATTCATTCTCCTCGAAAAAAGTTAAAAAATATTAAATATTTCTTTATTTTAGAGAAACAATAACTTCAGTTCTTAATGAATTAAATTGTAATAATGTAAAAATTGGCAGAGTTTGGTTGGATATTGAAGGCGAACCTGGGGAAAATAATAAAAATCAAACTTATTATTGGTATGAAGACAAGAAAAAGAATATTGAATTTATTGATGTAAGGAGGGATTTTTAAAATATATCCGGACCTCACTATCACAATTCGGCCGAAAAACCCTATTGAGTATTAAGGGATACGGTAATAGTTTGGAATTCACCCCCCCTTTTTTTCCTTTCTATTTTTTCTAGCTTTTTCTCATTTTATGACAAATCATATATCATTCGAAAGAGCCCCCCTTCGATCTGAGTCGAATAACATTAAAATTAACGAAATCTGACTTAAATGAACAAAGTTGTGTCCGTATTCCCTTGAATCTGCACAAAAATTTTTCCCAACGAGGATTTAGCTTTATAATTTTTGTAAGAATCATCAGATCTAGACAATTTTGTTATCATTCGACCAAGCTCGAAGGGGGGGGGGCGGATTCCAAACTATTACCAGAAATACTTCTGAAGTTAGCTTATAGTCACGACTAATCTGTGCATGGGTCTTGAATGGAGATGTATTGCTCGACCCCCAATTAATTCTAAGAAAGGCCTTCATCTAAAGCCACTTTATTTCCTCTTCAAAATTATTTTTAATTCAAAAAAAATTATATTTTTAAAGGGAATGATTACCACATTAAAAGAAAACAATCAACTTTTTGGTATTTATGCATCAAAATATTTTTGGACAAAAATTACTGGGAATGAACAAAAATATTCCTCCTTAACAACTGAAATTCCTTTGTGGTATGCACATTATGATGGAATAAATAATTTTGATGATTTTTATTCAAAATATTCTTTTGGTGGTTGGAATAAACCTTTTATGAAACAATATTCTGATGAAAATTCTGTAAAACAAAAAATTTGTAATTTAAGTGTTGATTATAATTGGAGACCCTTTTAAAGAAAAGCGATGATTTATGAGAAATTGAAAAAAAATTTTTTAAGTGGCAATAAATTAATTTAATTTTTTGAATAAAAATGGGAATAAAAATGGAAAAAAATATAAAAAAATTTTATGTGTATAATTTTTTAATATTTTTGTAGAAACAGACCGGGTCACGGATACTGATCTTGGTATACGTATCCGCATATTTACGGCGGATACAGACAGATACGTCGGATGTCCGCAGGCATTTTGATATTATCTGTATCCATATCCGTATCCATGGGCAGTTCTGGTAGGAAACAAGGAAAATTAAGCTTGTTGATGTTGAATAAGTATCATTGAATAATTTAGAGCATATAACTATTTAATTACTAAGGCCGCGTTGTAAGAGATAACATGTCATTCCGGTCTACCGAAGATTATGGTTCGTCCCAACCGCCTAATTAACTTTTGTTTAGCTAAAGGAGAGAAATAGCTATAGCCCTGCTGCTTTACTATATATTAATGATTATAGGTCCTAAAAAGGATTGTTTTTAGGCTGTATTGCTTTTAAAAAATTGTTCGGGAACAGGTCGAGGGATTATTGTTTTCGAATATACTATTTTTTAAAATAAAGATTGTGCTGCCACTATCAGCAGCTCCAAAACGCAATATAATTAGTAAGCGTACTTTGGAAGGAAGGTTGAATGATTGCAAATTCCTAGTATCCCTCGATATTCCTATAAATCCCCCAAATTCCCTCTTAATCATTTCTTACATTTATCCTTTAATTGCACTTACTCTACTTTGGAGATCTTGATAACCAGAATTTCTTTATACTCTAATAAAAAGAAAAATAATATTTTATATATTATGCATTTATTTTTTTTATTTTTCCATCAAAAAATTTTTAAGTTCAAGTTTTACTATAATTTAAATTTCCACCTAGTTTGAATTCTTGTAAAGAATAGAGGTGTCTGTTTTTACAAATTTTTAAGATGAAAATGGAGAAAGGATTTCTTGTGGTTATTTAACCAAAAACTGATTAATACAAGTTGATGTAAAAGCTTTTCGATGTTAAAGCTTTTCAATTTTACGTGATATTAATAAATTTCAATTTTGTAAGTATTATACTTCAAAATAAATGCGAAAAGGAGCCCTTTGTAGAGATAGGAACGGGATCGGGACCCGGTCCTTTTTCCCGGCTTTTTTGAAGATGCCGGGATGAAATCGAGATCGGGAACTCCCGGTTTTCCAGGTCCGGGTCCCTCCCGGTCGACCTTCAGAACCCGTTTCCCGGTCCCGGTTTTTTCAAAATTCCGATCTCTAGCCCTTTGTCAATTCCCTCCCAACATATGTACCTTAAAAGGACACTTGACAATAAATTGTTTTGTTCAATAATATTTTGATTTAAAATGTTATTTATATTTTTGTAAATTAAAAAAAAATTAAATTTCTGAGTAAAAATTGTTTCAAATATATATAAATTTATTAATTAAAGAATTTTATTTAAAAAATGACTATAGAAATTCAAGAAAAATTTCAGAAAAAAATAGAGTTTGATAGGAAAGATTAATTTATATATTTAAATGTCCCCATTATAGAATTAAGAGGAAATTTCAAGGTTTTCCACAAATAACTGAACCAGGTCTACCAGGGGAACAATATACAAATATACACTGCGTTCCAAAAGTATATGCACCCCTAGTTTTTTGATTTTTTATACATTTTTCTTCGTTATTTTGATTAAACTTTTTTGTCTATCTATTCTTCTAGATAAATGTGTATGTTTAAACAAAAAAATAAAAATTTCCCCCATCCCGTTTCATTTCTATACACATTTATGCAAAAATTCACTGTTCCAAAAGTATATGCACCCCCTCATAAAATTTTTATTTAGCAATCAAAAAATCCAAAAAAATTTCTCTAAAGATATCTATTAATATAGATAGGAAATACAAAAGAAACGAACTTCTAACATCATTCTACCAAAATCACCGTGATTGAACAAGATTAAACAAAGTTATAATACAAAAAACCTAAACCTATGGGGCGTCGGCGAGGCGCTTGTGCAAAACCCCGCGCTTCGCGCGGGGTTTTGCGGCACGCGCCTCGCGGGGAGTCTACGGGCGCTGGGTCTGGGCTCGTAACATGAGCCTATTCCTATCTCCCTTGCTCTGGACGTATTTGGGGCCTCCGTAGCAGCGAAAATCTCCACAGATGCCATAGGTAAGGAGACAAAATAAAAGATCATAACTTTGTCCAATCAAGTCGGATTTCGTTGATTTTGGTGTCATTCGACTCAGCTCGACGAGCTCTTTCGAATGAGCTATTATTTGCATATTCGAATTTTTCACCCCAAAAATGTGCCTACTCCCCCCTATGGTTTTTCGATTTTCGGGGACCTATATCTTGGTTCACAGGCATTTCCGTGAATAGAGAGTGGTACCGCTCGACTCAGCTCGCCAAGACGAATCGAATGGTATGTGTTTTGTATCGAAATTTTGCCTCCGGTATACTATACTACAGCCTAAATATGTTTACTCGTTTTTTTATAGTTTTTTTGTCCGGGTTAATACTTAGTTATGAGACTTGCCCCTATCTTATTGACGCGCTAAAATTAGCAGTACTTTTCTATTTCTATTTGGGCTCGGCATTATGAAATATTAATCCATCAAAATTTATACTCATTAAATAGAGAATTAAACGGAGTATCTAATCAAATAAATTATTTTATCATAAAATGAATTTTTTACTTCAGTCACTCTTGCCCCTATCTTTATGTCGATGACTGTAATTTTAGTACAAAAAAGATATAGAATATAATAACTATTAAAAAATTAACCTATTGAATTTAAATCTTGAATTTTAATAAAATTTTTAAAAACAAAGTTACGAACATAAAACTCGTATATAACTAAAATAAAAATTTATTCCATAATACATATGAAGGTTAAAGATTACCTCCTTATTATAATTGTAAATATTTACTGTCACATGCCAAAAAGGAAGCATTTTAAAATTTATTTTCAAATTTTTATTTAAATTTAAAAGCATTAATTTTATTGCTGTTTAAATAATAAAATATCTAAATTTTAGAAATCCGAAAGAATTTTTAAAAATTTTAATTTGTACATTTTGTTGCTTAGAAAATGGTGAGATTTTGGCTCAAAATATAAAATTGTTGGCAATAAATTTTGTTTAAACAGCTAAAAATAAATAAAATAAAATACCTCTGACGCAAAGAATATACCAAAAATTTATTCTCCTTCCCTTTATAAAGGATTTTTTGAAATGAATTGGCACCAGATTTTATTTTATACTTTTCTCAATAAAGCACACCAAAGCGTTTAAAAAGCTAGCTTACTAGAATGTCTAAAACAACACTAGAATGGTTTTTGTAAAGGAGTTTTGTTCTTATTCTGATTTTGTACTTCTTTTGGCTCTGGTTCTGATTCGGATATCGAATACTTGTTGCCGAAATTTATTGAATACCGTTTTACTTCTAATAGAATGCACGGGCATTCAATTTTTTAATTACCTTCCAAAGGAGCACTATTAGAGGGTGGGGCATTGTCAAAGAGATGGGGAAACATTGTATTGTCAAATAGAGGGTACAAAAATGCAAAAATGAAGTAAATGAAAATAATTAAAATATTTATTGAAGACATTATTTTTTTAGAAAAAGTTTCTAAATTTCAGTAATTTTTTAATTTGTTCTAAAGATCGATTAATTAGTATAGAAAATGTAAAACAATAAAGTTAAATGTTTTAATAAAATAATTTTGAAACTTGTTTTTGGTTTCAACTTTTGGACTAAATTTTTAGAAGCTTAAATTTGTATTTAATGTAAAGAAGGGAGTTACACGAAACTAACCACCCATTACCTTTAATTGAATCCCCCCTTTTTTAATGATAAAATTTTTCAATAATTTCAGTTTTCAATATTTTAAATTATTTACGTAATAGATTTTATAGACATCATGGAATTTGGAGGTGATTTTGAAAAATTAAAAGGAACATCAGCGGAGTTGAAGAGTGAGTTGAGTTTTGAAGAAATTAAAGAAGTTTTGGGAAATTCTCAAATCGGGTTTCAGATCGAGGAAAAGTTCAATTTCTGTTAATCCATCCCATCCCTATTTCCCCAAAACCTTTCAATATCTTGAAGCGCCCCTAAACCCCTACCTAAATCTATTCCGAAAAACAAAAATCAAAAACACAAATTCAAATACAATATTTATTTAGCAATACATACAACATACATATATTACAATAGAGCGCACAAACAATATACAAATATACATTCAAGATATGGTATATATACAAAATAGGGTAGTAGTATAATACTCCCAATGCGCGCAAATATATAGGAAGACATTATATGAGGGAAAATGGACGAGGAAAATAATTATGGGGATACAATTTATGTAGGTGAGTTATTTTAGATATATTATCCTATCACAATCATCTTCACTTCTCCTCTTCTCTCCCGCTCCTCTCTACTTCTTAGACGTTGCTCCTCCAGCCTTCGATGTCGCTCCTCCCTTCGTTGTCCCGGCAGCTTTCGATGTAGCACCGCCAGCAGTTGTCGCTCCACCGGTTTTGGCCTGCGTCCCTCCAACAGTAGTCATTCCGCCGGTCTTTGCTTGGGTCGCTCCAACGGTCGTCCCACCAACTTTGGTCTTGGTCTTCGTACCTCCAGCGCCGGTCATTCCCATTTCCATTCCCTCTTCTTCTTCACCTTTTCCGCGGAGCACGAAGAACCAGACAAGGCCACCAACTACAGCAAGCCTATAATTTTATTTTGAATGTAATTTTGTTAAATAACCCAAATCAAAAATATAAAACTCACAGGACTACAACGGCGATGACGATGCCAATGATGAGACCCAAGTTACTGCCGGAAGCTTCAGATGGTGGTGCAGTAGTTGTAGTTTCAACAGGAGCAGTGCTTTCATCAGGACCAGTGCTTCCAGCGGGATCAGATGTCGGCTTTGAACCAGGAGGAGCACTACCACCAAGCAATTTGAACCAGTTACCACTCTAAAAAACATGTTTGTAAACAAAATATTTTAATTATATCAATAAAAACCTTACCAGTCTGAGGGACAGCTCGCACTTTGGAAATTTGTTCCCATCAATCATTTTGCCGGGGTCAAGCGCTTGCATCTTGACACTATGGGCGGGCACAACCTTCAGTGGCAGAACGTTCAGCGTGAAGAGATATTTGAACTCGTCCTTATGCGCCTCGTCCTTGATCTCCCACTCCTCAGCCTTGCGAAGAACATCAGGATTGGTGCAGTAGATGTTAGATTGAGCTATCCTGTCGTAGTCCAATGCGCTCTGGCTTCCGCAACCGTGCTTAGACGGAACCTGCCATCCTTTGAACTTTTGATCGAAGTTGACTGTGACAGACGCGGTGCTTTCGGGCATTTTTGTTGCAGAAGCGCAGTACCAGATTCTCGGCTCACCAACTGAAAAATTAATTTGATTAGATAAAAATATTTTTGTTTATTTATTTAAATTCTCACGGATGTGCATGTTGTAGAGCATCTTGTCTCCCCTTCGTCCAAAAGCAACAGCGAACTCGGTCGAAAGCAGGCATTGTCCGTGACGTCCTTTGTTTCCTTCACTCTTACATTCTTTCGAACACCCAATGGGAGCACCTGTCTTAGGTCCTTTATCTAGCAAATCGACAAGACGTCCCTCCTGCAGACTGAAGGTGTACGGAAACCTAAACAACATTTTTATAAGAATAAAACATTTAACGATAATTCACTCACATATTCTCGTCGCCGACCCTCTCATCGTGCACCTCATTCGTGCCTTTTACTCCAGCGTCCGTCAAGCATTCCATCAGATTCCCGGTGACGGTGAAGTCCAGCTGGATCCCTCTGTTCTTCGTGAGCAAATCCATGGAGCATCCTTTTGTCGCATGTGTGGCCATCAAAAAGATGAGAATTTGAAGCGCGCTCTTTGCCTTTGTAGCTACTTTCCGAACTGTCGTCGCTTTAGAAGTTGTTTTTGCTTTTGTAGTCTCCTTTCCGTCCTTTTCCTCTTTAGCGGCGACCTCCTCCTCCTTCGGCGGGTAAGGTTCTCGATAAACCTTACCCGCCATTTGACGCTCCTCGTGGCGGCTCCTTCTTCTGGAAGCAAACACAAGCAGGCCTATTCCAGCAATGAGTGCCATCAACAGCGAGAGTCGAGTAAGTCTAAATTATTTAGAATTAAAAAATCGAATTTAGATTTAAAGATAAAAACACTTACAATCTTCGAATTTTTGACGCCTCTTTTAAAGAATCCTTTGACTGTTTTCCAACCATGTCGCACCAGACAACGCATTCGAGCAGCAACAGAGCGACCGTGAGCAGAAGAAGAGCACGCGAAACCAGAGCCGATGTCGAGGCCATCCCGTTGACGCCTGAAGAGTTGCAGCAGCGCTTCCGCATTACAGGTACGTCGACGAACGTAGATGAAGAGAATTTGTTACAGACGATAGAAGATTGATAGTTGTGTTGTTAAGGGAGAAGAAATGATGGCGTTTTTATAGTGTTTCTCTCTCTCAAAAAAAGAAACAGACTTTGTTGTGTAATATAAAAGCTAGTCTTAACATCAGTCTAGTTGGATCATACTAGCCCAGCAGTCCGGCAACCAGTGCTCGCTCGTCAACAGTCCGACAACAGATCGTCTACAGGCGTGTTCATATCGACAACAGCAACAGTGGAGACTAGTACTTAGTGAAGTATTGTGACGAAGTGTAGTGAATTGCTTGACGTGAGTTAGAGATTGGATTGTAAGTGTGGGAACATCGTAATTAGTGGCATGAGTCGAAATTGAGTTGTTAACGCGCAGTGGACGTGAAGGGACGTGAAAAGGACTCAGTGTTAGTGCCAATGGCCTAAGTTAGAGGGTGACTTAATGGACCTATTGGTTGATGAAAGGTTGACGAGACAGTTTTTTTATTAAATACGTCCCATTGGACAAAAACAAAGGATTCGTCCCAATGTACAGAAATCGCGGATTGCCATTTCAAAATGTCCAGCAGAGTAAAAATATACTCACTTTTCGAACTAAAAATTAAAAAGGGGAAATAATATGTAACTCTCATCAAAACATCTTTATTAGAAGCTTAAAAACTTGAAAAAAAAGTAATACTTTTTGTACGCAAAAAAGTATTTATAAATAATTTCGGTACGACATCGAATTTCGGGCCAAAATTTTGGGCAAAAAAATTCACACTTTAGCCCTTTACAACATTTTGAATTGATATCACAAATTTGTCCATATTTACTACAAAATTGTTGACTTGTATTGAATTGAAATAATACAAAAATGAAGTAAATAAAAATTATTAAAATATTTATTGAAGACATTATTTTTTAGAAAATTCTTTTTTCAGAAAGAGCTCAAGTTCAGTAATTTTTTAAATTTGTTCTAAAATAACAATTAATTTGTATAGAAAATGTAAAACAATAAATTTAAATTTTTTAATAAAATGATCTTGAAAATTTGTTTTTAGTTATAATTATGAACTAAATTTTTAGAAGCTTAAATTCAAATTTTTAATGGTGTAAAGAAGGGCGTCTCAGCTGGGACACGCTTCTGCGCGAGAATGTTTTCTTTTTAAGGATAAAAATTTTCGAATATTTCAGTTTTTCAATATTTTCAATTATTTAAGTAATTGATTTCAGAGGCATCATGGAATTTGGAGGTGATTTGTTTTGTGTTTAGTGTTTTATTCGAGAGACTAAGGAGGATATCTATGAAGATGAGGGATTGATAGAGTTTAGAGTTTACAGCGAAAAATACAATGCCCCCTCTATTTGAAAATGCCCCACTCTCCAATAGATGCACCTTTAGAAGGTAACTGAAAAGGTGAATGCCCGTTTATTCTACTTATATTAGAAGTAATACGGTATTTAATAGAGTTCGACAACAGTCGGTCGATATCCGGATCAGAACAAAATTAAAAGCAGAACAAAATCAGAATGAGAACAAAATTCCCCCAAACCATTCCATCATGCTATTGTATGCCTCTTATTAATGCCTCTTCTATTTCCAACAAGGTATTGAAACGTTTGAGTTGAAGCTTGTGCATTTAAAACGCTTGTGATGTGTCTTTATTAAGAAAATTATTAAATAAAATTTAAAAATGAGTCTCTAATTCAGTTTAAAAAATCCTTTTTTAAAGTGGAGTGAGAATAAATTTTTGGTATATTTTTTGCGTCAAAGGTATTTTATTTATTTTTAGCTGTTTAACCAAAAATTATTCTCATCAACTTTAAATTTTGAGTAAAAGCCAAAATTCGCCTTCTCCAAATATAAAATATACAAATAAAAATTTCTAAAAATGGTTTCGGATTTTTGAAAATTAATTTTTTATTATTTAAACAGCAATAAAATGAATGCTTTTAAATTTTAATAAAAAAAATTTAAAAATAAATTTTTAAATGCTTCCTTTTTGGCATGTGACAGTAAATATTTGTAATTATGTATAATAAGGAGGTATCATTACCCTCCATGGGGACTCAACTGAAGGAACACATCGATTAATCAACAATTAAAAATTTTATGGTGGAGGGGCTTATTTTAGAAAGGGGGCTTTTTTCGATCATTCTCTAGAGGGGGCTTATTTTGGAGGAGGCTTATTTTAGAGGAAATACGGTAATTTATTCAAACCAAAATTATAAATCAGCAAATTTAAGTTAAAAAATTTTATTTTTCGAGATGAATTATCCTAATTAAGGACTTACTCAGAGATACACAAAAATTCTTGTTTCGTTTGAAAATTTATTTCATTTTTTCTTTTGTTTCGTGTTTATTTGAAAAACTATTTTCATACGTTTTTGTTTAGTAAATTGTCATTTTTGGACGAAGGCGAGAATAAATTTGATATTTTTGTGAAAATTGTTTGAGTTTATGCTGTATTTTTAAGCCAAAAATATTGGTGAAATGGAAAAGATTAAGGGTAATTTGAAGAGATGCCGGAGCTTTAAGAAGGATATCATGTGTTTGGAAGGAATATGGGGATATAAGGAATGACAGAGGATTTGTATGGATATGGGGAATACGTGGAGATTCTTTGACATCTCTTTTGATATTGCAACCAAAATTATAAATCAGTAAGATATGCAGATTCTTTAGTATAAAAAGCAGATAAACCAGATAATGTAACACCTCTGTAATCTACGTATCTTCATTTTTCTTCGAAAGCTCCTGGGATGGCTTCTGTCACTTTCTTCGTGCGGTTCGTGGCTATTGTGTTGTTGGTTGTATCCATTGTCTATTGTGACGTGGTTGGACATGGCAAGCATGAGCTGGTCAACGGGAAGATTGTAAAGCTGCGGGGAAACACAAAGATAGCTGAGAAACCTGCTGATCTTGAACTCTACAAAAGTCAACCTGGTTCTTGTGATGTTGAAATGGACAGGGACGGAAATATGTAAGTGTACAGATAACGTTAATCAAAAATACTTTCATTTAACAGAACACTCTGGTACCGCAAAAATTCCATCACAGCAAAGGAAGGATGCTCGATTGATTTTGCCACCATGCATTTCAGAGAAAATGAAATGTTCTTGATCGAGTTTGGCATCCAACACGATAACGGATTGACCAATTGCTTGGCGGATCTGGCATCTACTAAATTAATAACCTTCAATGATTCGGCTATGACTTCTAATTCGTTCGTATCTTATAAAAAAACACGCTAAAAAATTAATTTTTAGGTTGGCCATCGCTTTCGGTCTGAAAAATGGTGAATTTGGAGGAATCAAAAGAGGATATCCGGAAAGACACAAAAATTATTGTGGGGATTTGTCGAAATGTAAGGATCGCGGAGGCAGATGCTTGGATGTCGCTGATTATACTGTTGGATGGGCTCGAGATGGCAATTATGTCCAAAGTACACATCATCCAGGTGAGGAATTTTAATTTCTTTTTACTCAGTCGGAACTTAATACAAAACTCCATCCCATAACACTCCACTCCCCCTGGCAATTAAGTTACCCAATTTAAACTTGTTTATTTTCAGTTGGCGAGACTAATTATGGGATATGTAATATTACTAGAGAGGCGTATACTAATAAGTATGAAACAAGAGTTGTTCATTTTTATGATAAGGAATTTAGAGGTTGCGGTGATTCCACGCCAACCTACTTTTGCTTCAAACATGAAAATGTTCGCAACCCAAAAAAATGGAGAATTACGGATAAGGACCATACCGAACCAATCTACAATCATCTCTTCACCTTCCACATTCTTCCAACAACTTCTATGCAAATGAGCATGCAGAATATTTGGATTAAATGTGATAAGGATGCGAATAAGGAGAATTGTAACCAAAATGCGGCATTTCAAAAGTGCGACAAAATGTTTGTGAAATTTGTAAGTTGGGAATTTTTTGTTAAATCAGTTTCTTAAAACTTTTAATTAAGTACTCTTTTGCCTATAAAATGCTCGTTCCTGATAATTCTGTCAAACAAACGACTACAGAAGAAACGACAACGATGGCTACCTGTCCGCCTGTTGCTGAATGTCCGCCTTGTGGTACTGACTGTCCGACGGTTGGCTTTCCGAATGTTGTTACTAATCCCATACAACCTGGAAATTCAACCGAAAAAGTCGAAATAAAGTCTCAAAATGGAAGTAGTTTGCCTTCACCTACAGTTGATTGCTACAACGAGGGGACTAAGAAAGATTCAAAGAAAACTTTGCAAATTACTCTCGTTATTGTTGGCTCTATAATATTGTAAGGATTTTAGAAGGATTTTTGGCCAAAAATTATTCTTTTAATTTTAGGCTTCTAATGTTCACCGCTCTTCTCATCTGTCTATTCGTCAGCAAAAGCAAATAAAAGGAAAGTCTTCTGAATAGTTGGATAAATATACATATAGGAATTGTTGATATTTTTTACTTAATATAGGATGTTCTGTTTATAAATTGTAGTATATTGTAGTTGATATTGTAGTTGTGTAGAATAAATTATAGTTAAATCCAGATATAACGTTGACTGAGCTATAGACCAAAATAGAAAATCATAAGGGGACAAAGCTGATATTTATGGCAAACGTCTAAATAGGAATCGGAGTTTAAGGTTAGAACCTTTCCGATGACGTGAGAAGCTCAACCCCGTTGTTATTTTCTTAATATCTTTTGTTGGGGAGATTTATTATCAACCTATTTTTGTTTCAATTTTAACGTTTTTATGTCTGTCACTTATTTTGATATTTTTTCTAAAAATTCACTAAAATTTTACAAGAATTCTTTTTAATTTTTGCATTTCTTGCCCCCTATGTCGACCTAATTTTGCAACCTATTTCTCAATTTTTGTCACCTTTTTCTCCATTTTGTCAGCAATTTTGACAATTTCTACAACCTATTTTTGGATAGTTATTAACTAAAAATCCGATCCCTACCCATAAACTAAAATTAGCTGTCATCAATCAAATACTTATTTATTTAAATGTTTTTATTGTTCACAAGTTGTGACATTAATTAATAAAATAATAGTTAGTATTTAATTATTTTTAAACAGCTGTCACTAAATATAATATAAGGATTGGCAAATTGCAACAAAAACACTTTTTAAATTCTTTAATTTTTTCTTCCACCCATTTTTTATTTTAACTTGATAAATAAAAACATTTTACAGCGGGTCCTTCCCTACGGGAGGGACCCCATCCAATGCCCTGTGGCGACAAGAAATCAGCCGTTTTATTACAACAATTACCTCCTCCAAATTTCTGTAACAAAATAAAGGCATTGCTTAGAACGTTGTTTTACGTTTTTCCAAATTCTGTTTTGCTTTAGTTTTTTTCAGTTTTTAACCCAAAGTTCGCAGGTTTTTCGGTGTTGTTTTCCGATCTGTCTGCAGACATTTTCAACAAAAGAAATATTTTTAGTAATTTTTAGAATTAACAGTAATAATGCAAATTTCAAAATGAACAAGCTAAACTTTCTTCCTTTACTTTTCTCTATTTTATTTTTTATGATTTTTAAAAATTATGTTAACGCAAGTGAAGGAGTTATTATTTGGAAAGATTGGCATAGGTAAACGCATGTTAAAAAATTCTAATGAAAAATGTTAAAACTAAAACTACCGTAAATCCTCTAATGGAACCACATGTGCTTTTATTTTTCGATCCTCCCGTAGAGTGAGCTTATATTGGGTAAACCCCAACGTACCGCGAGGCCAACTTGCCGCAGAGCTATAACTCCGTTCAAAATGGTCCAATCCGGGACGCCCTGATATGGTTCGATACAGCTCGTCGAGATGCTTCGAACCATGCCCAGGCGTCCCGGATTCGACTATTTTGAACGAAGTTATAGCTCTGCGGTTATAGCTCGTTATAGCTCGCGGGCCTGCTCCCGCTTATATTGGAGATACAAGAAGATTTACGTATCTGTACAGTCCCTGAGTTGTTTAAACCTCTATTCATGTTACGTCTTTTAAAAGATATTTGGATATTTGGACAGGCCCAAGGGAGACCCATAGTTCAGATGTATACAGTATAGATCCAAATACAGCCCTGTATTTTCTAAGGAGTTTCGATTATACTCCTTTTTCTGTTGAAAAATTTAATCAAAATATTTTTTTTTAAAATAAACAAAATTTTGAATTAAAATATTTAGAATTCCAACATTTAAATGCTTAAAAGAAAAATACTCGAAGGAATTTGTTTTTGTTTTTGCTAATTATGTTGACACAGGAAAAATTAATTCAGATGCAGAATTAAATATAATAAATGCCAGAACAGCAGGGATTGAAAATATAGATATTATATTTTCCCCTTGTGTTAAGCCATCTTCTGAGCACGATTTATGTGGAGATGGAAGGTAAGACTTCACAGCTTAAAATTAATCTCGGGGAATGGGAGGCGAAATACGGAGACTTTTTGGGCGAGGAATGGGGAACATCTACACGTGTATGAACATTAGGGTTGTTCCCCGTCCCCGTCCACGAAAGTCGGGGAATTTGAGAGATTTTTTGAAAATTCCCCGTCCCCACCCCCCGTAAAAAAATAAAAACTTTTCCTCGACCCCGTCCCCCCTCCGTGGCGCTGTCTCCCCGAAAAGTTATCCCCGTGGCCCTCCCCCCCCTGTCGGAGAACAACCCTAATTAAGTTATTAATAGAAGAATCGCCCGCTCGCCTCGACATATAAATTAAAGGAGCGATGTTTTGCCTTAGATTTTTATTAATTAAGTGCATCAATTACATCCGTACTCGATTATTTAAATAGAATTAATGTAAAATTTGGAAGAGTTTGGATATATATTGCCGATGAAAATGGATGGAATAAAGATAACAAGGCTTCGAATGTCGAGTTTATCGAGGCAAATTTATCGATATTTCCTAGAAAATTTTTAATTTAAGGGCATGGTCAACGCTTTAAAAGAAAGAAACCAATTATTTGGATTTATCGCACGTAAAAATCATTGGCAAGAGATTACCGGAAATATTAAAGATTATAACAATATTCCACTTTTATATTTCCATTTTGATGGTAAAAACAATTTTGACGATTATAATGAATATGATTATCAATTTGGTGGCTGGAAAAAGCCTACAATGAAGGGATATGAAGATGAAGACATTTGTGGAGTAACTGTTACTGATATATACCATTCTGTTAAAAAATTAAAGAAAGAATTTCCTTTTGTTTAATAAAATTATGATAAAATTCATTTGATATAGTAAAGCCGAGGGTTGGAACAAAAAAGACCGGGAAGGAATTTATGTTGTTTGACTTAATAGGTTCCGCGCAGTGTTAGGGTCTCAAGAGGTGATGCCTGCCAAGGATAAGCCCAGAATATGGATAGGCGTAAGCCTCGCGAGGATTTAATGAATAAACTTTCAGTTTCCTTCAATAGGGCTGTATTCGAGGGTTGGAACCAGACGTGGGCGAAACGTTTCGTTTCGTTTCGTTGTTTCGTATGTTTCGTATGATTTTTACTGTTTCGTCTCGTTTCGTTACGAAACACTTTTAAATTTGTTTCGTTTCGTTTCGTTACGAAACACCTGTGATTTTTCAACGAAACGAAACAATTTTTTAAGCCTAAACTAAGGCCAAAATCTATAAAATTTACCATCTTTTATTGAAAATTTAAAAAATTTTCGCCTGCGGCGCTGAAAAAAAAAGAATTTCGGCTTCTTGGCTTTCCCAAATTGTCAAAATTTTCGCCTGCGGCGCTGAAAAAGGAAGATAGCAATTACTTATATACTACAAATCCGTTTATACTCCACTCCCTAATCCACATATACATATTACTTAATCGACGTCAAATTCTATTACCGGACTCGCATCATAATTTAAAAATTGCGGATTGCGAGTTGCGGAAATACTGGAACCGGAACTTCCGGCGAAGCACTAGCTTATATCGCCTTCCTCTCGAAATGGAGATATGGAGACAATTTGGGTAGGCAATGGAGCAAGATGGTGAATTTTTTGGCCTACGGCCTTTCAAAATTTTAAAATTTTTCGTCTGCGGCGCTTAAAATAAAATTTTACTTGAAAAATATTCAATTTTATTTAAAAAAAAGCGTCGCCAAAAATTTGGCTTCGAAAATGATTGACCCCCCCCCCTTCCCCGAAAATTTTCCTTGCTACGGGCCTGGCTTATGGGACACAATTGTTGTAAATAAACCAATAACTAAATCATTTATAAGTCATAGTCGACTAATAACGTATTTGAGGTCGAATAATTTCGAAATAAATGCAGTTTTGAAAATTTTTTGAATATTAAAATGTTTCGTTTTGTTTCGTTTCGTTTCGTAAGATTTTGGTTGTTTCGTTTCGTTTCGTTAACGAAACGATTTTTAAAAAATTTTGTTTCGTTTCGTTTCGTCAGAAAAAAATTTTGAGTTTCGCCCAGGTCTGGTTGGAACAAAAAAAAGACATAAACTATTCCAAATCATAATTTATACAAATTTTAAAATATACAATATAAGGCACCCATCTATATTTTGTTTCTGCTTATATTTTAACATTTTTAAGGGCATTTATGTATGTATTTTGAAAATTTTCCTAAAAATACGTTTTATTACAAAAATTCTTATCAATTTTTGTCTTTGTTGCCCCCCTATGTAGGGTTGCCAGCTCGCTCGACCCGAAACTCGAAAGATCGAGCGAGCCGAGGCTTTTCAGCTCGAAAGGCTCGAAAACGAACCGAATCGAAAAAACCAAGCTCGAAAAATATGCACCGAACGTCGGCTCGAACCGAAAACGGCAACCCTACCCCTACATCGTCCTTTTTTTGCAACCTATTTCTACATTTTTGTCACCTTTTTCTTCATTTGTCAGCAATTTTGATATAAATATTATACAACCTATTTTTGGATAGCTTTATTTTAAAATCCGATCCCTACCCATAAACCCAAAATTAGTCATCACTCAATCAAATACTTATTTATTTAAATGTTTTTATTGTTCAAAATTTGTGACATTAATTTATAAAATTGTTTATAGAATTGGTATTTAATTATTTTTAAACAGCTGTCACTAATTTGTAAATTCTATTCTTAAAATAACCTAATATAAGGACTTGACAATCGCAACAAAAACACATTTTTAATTCTTTAATTTTCTCCCCTTCTTTCCCGAGCTTATTTTAGATTGATAAATAGTAAAATTTTTAAATAGGGGTTTAGGGCACATCGAGTCCTTGACTACGGGGGGATTACCGCCTCCAAATTGTTGTTTCAAGATAGGTAGCTAAAGGCACTTCAAACGTTGTTCCTGTTTTTCCAAATTCTTTGCAGAGTTTTAGGCTTAACCAATATTAATACAGATTTCATAATGAACAACATTAATTTTCTTCCTTTACTTTTCTCCATTTTATTTTTTATGATTTTTAAAAATTATGTTAACTCTTGTGAAGGAGTTATTATTTGGAGAGATTGGCATAGGTAAGAATAATATTAAAAAATTATTATGAAAAAATATTAATCACGAAACTATCTGTACAGTTTCGGCTTGGATTAAATCTCTAGTCATGAATAAGGTTGACGGTTCTGTGTATCCGGAACCGAAAAACCCCCAGATATCTGGAAATTTTCGGTTCGGATATCGGTTCCGGATATCCTGGGAATTCCCAGGAACCGTCAACCTTATTCATGAAACGTCTTTTAAAAAGTAGTTGGATACTGGGCGAGGCCCAAGTGGCATCCCTAGTTAAGATGGGTCGGGGTCTCCTCTTTCTGTTAAAAATTTAATCAAAATATTTTTTGTTAAACTAAACAAAAATTTTGAATTAAAATATTTAGAATTCCAACATTTAAATGCTTAAAAGAAAAATACTCAAAAGAATTTGTCATTGTTCCAGCCAATTATATCGACGCAGGAACAGTTAATTTAAATGCAGAATTAAATATAATAAATGCCAGAACAGCAGGGATTGAAAATGTGGATATTTTGTTTTCTCCTTGTGTTAAGCCTTCTCCTGAGTACGATTTATGTGGAGATGGAAGGTAAGAATTCGCTGGCTAAAATTCATATTGTCCTTAAACAAGCATCCCTAGCAGTACTTAAAAAGAGAAACGGGGACTTTTTTGTGGCTAGGAAATGGGGAACATCTATTAAGATTTATAAAGAGGCCAATCGCTAAAAAGGCCAATCGCCCGCTTTATTATAGTAAATACAGTATTGTAGTTGTGTATAATAAAGTGTAGTATATTTGTTTTTCCACAAAATCAGTTAGTTCGTAAAAGGCTGCAGATTTTATTATTTTCTCTATTTTTCTTATCTTAAATGGATCTGTTTGAAAAAATTGAACTGAGTCATAATTTAAAGCGATCTCCATTTTTATATCCTAAATGAATCTATCTATAATAATATTTATGGGAAAGTTATCCGAACCGAAAATTTCGGATATACGGATCCAGAACCGAAATTTGTATTTTCAAAATTTACGCCTGCAGCGCTAAAAAGTTGCGTCCCAATGGGGAGATATAGAGGGATTAGAAAAATTCCAAAACATTTAAAAAATATTAAATTAATTAAAATAAAAGTACAAAGTATTTAGGAGGGAAATTGAATAACAAACAATTGGGACTTTGTACCTTATCATAAGGTACGAGATTAAAACACAAACAAAGCAATTAAGCCATTCATGTATAAGTTTAATCTTTTTTTGAGAGAATGAGAACGCCTCATTACAATGGCCATGATTTGGCTTAATCTTAATAAAGAATACATAGGTTAATAATAAAAATGCAACACATGTCGCCTTAACCAGTTTTTATCTGGTTTTCATATTTTTAAACTTGTACAAAGAAAAGTAAACATTTTTAATTTTTTGTTTATAGAAAACCTTAATTGTCTAGTTAGCTAATGGACAAAGCTTAATAGCTTTGTTTTTGATTAAAAATATATAAAAGAGAAAAAATATGTTTTTAATATGTTTTTAAGTGGTTGATTTTCTTTTTAATTAAAATTGTTTGGATTAAAATAGTTGTCGGAAATCAAAAGAAAAAAAACGTCAGAAATCGGAAATTGAAATTCCGACCGACCCTGGTACGAGCCTAATAGCCGACCAGTAACAAACGTATAGAAATAATTTATTTCTATTCGCTTCGTTACAAGTTGAGCTATCAGGATCTATTAAATATATTAAAAATCTGACCTACATTACAATTTTAAAAAATCGTTTGATATCCCCTTGTTTTATTTACCAAAATTCATTTAAATTAATATGTATAATTAAAGCATTAATAAAGCATTAAAGAAAATAGTTTTTAAAGTTAAAAGAAAAGAATTTAACAGCCAAATTTGAAAAAGAAAGTAAAAAACGTTCTTCGTTTGGAAAATACTATAAACATCTCCTCTCACTCCACAACATTTTTTTCATTTTCACTTACAACGATTAATTCCTTTAACACAAAATCCACAACATCTATCATTTTTCGGATTATTTTTCGGCTCACATGTTGCTCCTTTACCCAAACAGGTATGACATTGTGAGTCTAAAAGTATATAGGTACATAATAGAGCTGTCCAAGGCTCTTGGTCTTAAGTCTTGGAAAATTTTCAATATTGGACAGCCCTGGTACATAAATAGGGCTGGAATTATACTTAACATCAGGGTTGGTCCCCGTCCCCGAAAGTCGCGGAATTTAAGACATTTTTTGAAAATTCCCTGTCTCCGTTGAAAATTCCCGTTTCCCGTAAAAATTTTTCATCCCCCACCCCCCCCCCCCCCCCCCCCAGTAAAAAAATTTCTACAGTTTACGTTATATTTAATTAATTATTTCATAATGCGAAATTTACGTTGACAGCTTTGGCCTGCACAACAGTTAATATCCTCAGTACAATGTGCTCCTAAAGGAGGGCAATCATCACATGAACCTAAAAAAGTATATTTATAATTAAATCTCCTTTCAAGACGATTTCTCGTTATTTATAAATCATTATTTACTTATATACAAAATTCACCTCCGTTACATATTAATTTGTCACAACATTGACGTCCACCACTACCACAAACATATCCTTTACCAACACATAACCCTTCACAATTGTTTAATTGGAATAATATAAAAATTGAAAGAAAAAGCAAGCAAATTTTGGTTGGGGAGGAAAACATTTTTTTAATTTAAATTCTTAAATTGGCAATTAAAATAATAAGAAGGTTGTAAGAAAGGACGATCGAAAAAAATTTTTTATTTCGAAACAAAATAAAATAAAAATTTAAAAATAATTAGTTTGCAAATTAAAAATGTTTTAATTGTAGTAAATTAATAACTATGCAGCACTAGGTAAAGATTTTAGAAGACTTGTCCCTTAGCCAAGTGATTGGACAAGTCATGGAAGAAATATTTCAAACCCCATGTTTTAAAAGGCCAAAAACTTGTGGGAAATGGGAAATTTAAAAATTTTGGGGAAATTTAAACATTTTTAAACCCCAAATCTCTTTTTGATTTTAATTCTTTATCCGTCGATTGTTACTCACTCAACTGAAGCAATGGACAACTAAGACTGCCCATAAACTAAATTAGTACCCAGAAAATTTGAAAATGGGCAAAATCCCTACCGATCTATGATCAAGAATTTTGCCGATCTGCAAATACCTACAGTTACCATATTTACTGAAATAATTACCCGGGGTAATTATTGTTTCGATCTCTCGCTGGAGGGGGTAATTAATAGGGAGTGGGTAATTATTTGAGAGAGGGTAATTATTTGAGTAAATACGGTATGTAAAATTTATGGTTTAAAATATTTTAGTTTGTCTGTACTTTTTTAATTATTAGGAAATAATTGACTCGAACAACTATGTAGATCAATCGAGCAGTTTGTAAGAAAACCAAGTTTGATATGAATTGAAAAAAGCACCCAATTTCAGTCAAATTGCCTATAAATTTATAAAGAAAAATGTAAAAGGCTGTCTAATATTTAATTAATTGAGGAATAAAAATTTTCTATAATTAATAAATTCCTTTAAAAATATTTTTAATGTAAGGAAGAGAAAGATCCAGCTGGCTAGCGTGTAAGACGCTTACTAGGCGGGGGTTTAAGATCTATTAAAAGAGAAGGAAAAGCACCATTCCTGTAGCTCAGTTAGTAGAGCACCTGTACGTGCTGAGCGAAAGCGCCTAGCAATAACTGCTAGGAGGTCGCAGGATCTAAGCCTGCCCGGGATTAAACTTTTACCTCGCTCTTACTTTAAACTAAAAATATTATTAAGAATTTAAGGGGTAATTTAATTAATTAAAATGATTTATTACCTAACTCGACATAACTGTATTTATATTGTCTAATATGTACTTTTTACTTTAAGAATTCCCACGAACATCAGATACAAAATTTATTAATAATATTTAAACAACTGGGTATTTTAATCAAAAAATTGAGTTTTGAAAGGGTACATTTTCTATTTTTGTATTTAAAACGGCAATTTTTTGCTAAAATTTTTATTTTTGTTTATTCAATTAAAAACAAAAATTAATTTAGAAAAGCATATGACTTGAATTATTAGCAAAAAATAAAATTTTATTTATTGAAGAATTTATTGGCTATTGTGAAATTTAATAATTTTCTAAAAAAAACTTTTGGGACGTTCATGTTTCCCTTAACTTATCTAATTCCTCTTTAAAAACTCTTTTTCAAACCTCGAAAACAAGGATTTATTACAAGCGGGCTAGGGTCCAGTTTTTTGTAGCTTTTTGTAATTACAATTTTCTTTTTGTTCTTTTAAAATTTTCGAAAAATATAAGAAATATCGATATGCAAAAATGAGATCCATTCAAAAATTTTCTGTATCTATATTCAAATTTTTCGAAAAATCCAAATCGACAAGGCCTGTTGGCACTTAATTCCAACACAACCCTTCAAATACACAAATATGAGTTCAACGTAAAAGTCTTTGTAAGATATATAATAAATATAAAATGTAATTTAATATATTAAACATTTTTACTTTTGTTTTAATTTTTGTATTAATTATTATTCTATTGTTAAATTTCTAAAAATCTGTTACATATTTATATTGAAAATATGCAAAAAATTTTGTAATAGGCTTTTTCTTTTTTATTTTAATATACAAATTTTTAATGAAAATTTAGAGTAATCTCGAAATGTAGGTTAGACAGAATAGATCGGTTCTAATTTATTGTTATCGATACAAAATTTTTTTGAAATATCTTTATCGTATTCCAATCCTGAAGGCCTGATCTAAGTAAAATACGTGAAAAATCACATCATAAGCAATATGCAATTACTACAGGAGTTCACAGAGAACCCCCTTCCCAAAAATTAGAGAAATACTGCTCTCGATCAGGTTTGTCTTTGCGAGAAAATATAAACTAAGGGTTAATACAAAATGTAATTTTATATATGGAGCATTTCTAGTAAATTTTTTATTTTTTATTTATTTACATATTTATTTTTGTACATATTACGTAGTAGTAATTAATTTGAACTCTAATCTACATTGTTTTAAATATTTCCAAATTACTCAAAAAATTTTCAAAAATTATTTAGAACTTTATATGTATGAGGAACGAAAATTTTGCATCTTCTTTTTATGCTTTATTACCTTATTATTCTAATTTAATGGCGTTTTTATCAACTAAAATTTTTTCAATTTTTAGAAAATACCGTATTTTCTCGATTAATTCCCCTCGGGAATTATTTTCAACCCTTCCTTGGATGTGGAATTAATAAAAAAAATAATTTTTTTAATTTTTAGAAAATACAAAATAAAAAAATAATTAATCAAGTAAAAGATAATTAATCAAGGGTGAGGAATTAATCGAGTTTTGGATTTGAACGTGCAGTAGGGTATTTGGGGGTGGGGAATTATTGTTTCAACTCAACTCTAGCATGGGGAATTAATTGAGAGGGGGAATTAATCGAGAGAGGGAATTGTTCGAGGGAGGGGAATTAATCGAGAAAATAAGGTATGTACATGTGTATGTTTATTTAAAATTTGAACGGAAAATTTACCTAAGATAAATTATTTATTTATCTTGACTAATTATAGCTAAGGTGAAAGTATGATTTTTTCTTATCTATTTTTTGAGAAACTTTGAACTTTAACATTCCTTAAATATTTTTAATCTTTTTTTATATCTGTCGTGGTTACAGTTCGCTATACGTGTTTTGGGTAATTCATAATATAAATAAACATGCAGGACAATTATTACTAGTTTGTTTTTATTAAA